ACTTCCCCCCGTGCGCCCCTCGTGTCCATCTCTGAGCTCCCCCGCCGTGTCCATCCCTAAGCTGCCCTCCCCGGGCTTCCCCCCGGGCTCTCCCCATGTCCAACCCTGAGCTGCCCCCGGGCTCCATCCTCGAGCTGCCCCCTGGACTCCCCATGGACTCCCCCTGGACTCCCCCCGTGTCCATCCCTGAGCTCCCCACCGTGTCCATCCCTGGACTCCCTCCGGGCTCCCCCGCTCTCCCACCCCGCTCACCTCGGGCCTCCCGCGCCGGGGCGGCCCCGGCCGGGCCCCGCCGAGCCCCGCGAGCGGCCCCTGCGCGCCCCGGGCGGAGCGAGGAGGCGGCGGCGCTGGGGCGGGTCCGGGCGCTGCTCCGGGCGCTGCTCCGCTTCGTTCCGCTCCGGCCCGGCCCACCCTGCCCTGCCCTGCCCTGCCCTGCCCTGCCCGGCCGGGCAGCCGCTTGGGCAGCTCCTTCAGCAAATCGGTCTCTACGTGGGAAAAAAACCCCAGTGGTTAAAGTACTACGTGTTCTTTCACTTTTTTCAGCTACTGAGTGAGGAATGACCTGATCTGGGTTGTTAGCTGTTACAATCTGGTGAAATTCATACATAATATTAATTTTCTTGATCTAATTCCCGTCTCATGTCAGAGTTATGTTAATGAGATAAGAGTCTTCTCAATTTGATAACTGCTTCCAGGCTGGAAGGAGAGCAAATACCTGCAAGGAAAAATTATTATTGCCTTGTCCTTTTGTAGAGTCCACCAAAATTCACATAAATTAGTTTCTTTTTGCTGTCTGTCACACTGGTAACTTGGAGAGACTTGGCTTCCCTGTTCACATGTGGCAAAGATTAGATTTGTGCTGCCAAGCCTACAGGTTGTACTAGAGGAACTAATTCTGTATTTCAGCTCTAATCAGCATAAAAACTGTTCTGAGTTGGTGCCCTTTTGCCATGTTGTTGGACAGGATCTGGGGAGACCCTGCTTTGCCATGAGAGAGAGAGAGACTGGTGGTGCTTTGGGATGTCTAAACTACCTACTCTTGCCTCCCAAGAAAGGGGTACTACCATGGCTTTGGAGTCACCACCCTACAACTGTGTAGATTTTAAAGCCAGAAAAAAAACCCAAAACATTCTTAAGGTGATCAATTCTGTCCTATGCAGGCCAAAAAAAAAAAATTCCACCCTGTCATTTTTGCTCGCAAGCCCTGGGAGCACAGATCCCTTGTGCTGCTGCTGTGCTATAATGCATTCTTGGAGCACTTAAGGCTGTTGTGGTGCTTTAGCTCTCGCTTGCCAGACTTTTCCAGAGCTGTAGTCAGCACAGTTATGATGAGCATGGTTATAAATACCTGTGCAGACAGAAATGTGGACAATTTTAAAACAAATACAGTGACTTATTAATGGTTTTCTTATTTAAACATTCGAGTCCACCTGCTCCGTTCCCATCACGCAGCGCACGATGCAGCTCACAGCAAACCCATGGCTTGTACGGAGTTTCTGCTACAGTAGCCAGGTTGCCACAGATCAGTGAGTGGATAAATGTATCAGGGAATGTATTTACACGAGGTGGTGGGGCCCTGGGGTTACAATCCTGACAGGAAGCTCTGGCCATGTCACAGCCTCAGGGACCCTGGTGCTCCTACAAGTAGGTGGTTGTCTAGTACATCACTTTGTGGCATCACTGAAACCAGCTTGAAACAGTGCTTGATCTGCAGTGTCTGTATTTATAAAGCCAGCTTTTCTGGGGCTGATCCAGAGCCCACCGACGTCAATGAAAACTCCCACTGACTTCCAAAAGACTGAAATTGGGCTTTCTGTGAGGAGAAGTCTTCTCATTTCAGCACATACAATAGGTGAAACAAAACCATCTAAGACCCCTGCAGCAAAGGAAGGTGCTCAGGGTGTTGTTTGCTTTTTGTTTGCTGTGACTCCCTCAGTTCCAGGGGTGTGACCCAAGTCCTGTCTCTCAGGAGGAGATGTCTCTGTGTGCTCACCAGAGGGTGCCCAGCACACAGATCTGCAGCAGCACCACGGCCCAGCACAAACCTGCCAGGCTCCACACAGCAAAGCAGCTCAGAACACAGAGCCCTGGGGAGAAGTCCTAGCCCTGCATGCCTCAGCAGTCCTATAAATCATGGTGAGTTTGGAACTAGGAGTGCTGAATGCTGCTGCTCAATCCCTCTGCAGAGTGCTCCCTTGAAGCCATAAAAGGTACCAGTCTTTCTGGGATCTGTACCTTGAGACATCCAAAGGGGTCTGAAACACAAAGGTGGACACCCAGTCTCTATCAGGCTTCTTCAGGAGTTTCATGACATAATTAGGATATGAGGTAGTTCAGTGAGTCCAGATGAAGCTCTGGGTGAGCCTGATGGCCAGCTGGGCTGTGCACTGGGCACTGGAAAACCTCAAGGGTGACCTTTATTGGTAAGAAGAGCACCCTCGAGTGGGAAAATGGAGTCTCCCACACCCAGCAAGGCCTGATGTAGCCAAACTCAGTTCCACCTGGAGAAGAGAAGGCTCCAGGAGACCTTAGAGCCCCTTCCAGTGCCTAAAGAGGGTCCAAGAGAGCTAGAGAGGGACTTTGGACAAGGGCCTGGAGTGACAGGACAAAAAGGAATACCTTCAAAGTGACAGAGGGCAGTGTTAGATGGGATAGTGGGAAGAAATTCTTTATTTAGAGGGTGGTGAGGCCCTGGCACAGTTTACCCAGAAAAGCTGTGTCTGTCCCATCCTTGGAAGTGTCCAAGGCCAGGTTGGATGGAGTTGGAGCAACTTGGTCTGGTGGAAAGTGTCCCCGCCCATGGCAGGGCATTGGAAAGACCTTTAAGAGCTTTAAGGTCCCTTCCAACCCAGACCATTCTGTGATTCTACGAAATTCCAAACAGAGCTTAGTGCTGGCAAGCACAGAGCTGGTTGTGTTGGGGATGGTGAGTGAATGCTCCTGCCTGCTGTGGCACACAATGTTGGGCAGAGCTGCTGGGAACTTCAGCCTTACTGGTCCCTCTCCCCACCAACAAATCTCACTTTGTGCGATTTTCCACACCTAGTGTGGAAAATAGTTGGACTCTGGCATTTAAGTTTAAGTCATGCTTGAGCTGTGACTCTCATGACACTTCATCCTGCTGTCTTCTTCATGCACCTCTCAATCCTAAGGATCCCAAAGCCATTATAATTCAAGACCAGGACACAGCATTTTCATGGGATTAGTTATTCTACTCCTGAAATAGATCCTGTTTATGAGGAAAGGGGGAGGCTGTCTTCAGAACACATTGCAATTTATCAGGTCCTAAGAGAGGATGCAGTGGGACAGTGCATGGAACTGCACAGGTGCTTCAGGAAAGAGTGTGCAATTATTTACACCTGAAATCTGACAAGATGCTGCTGCTAACAGGACTGTAATTCAGAACATGCCTTTCCAATTATCACTCTGTGGCTCTTTGTCAGAGCAGAGTAAGCTGGGCATTTGGAAGGAGTCATTAGTAGCAGACAAACTCAGAAATCAACTCTCCTCTGGATCATGGTGAGGTATATGGTTATGGTTAGGCAGTGAGGGTGTCAGGGATTAGATACCACGGCTGACACTTCATTGAGGCTTCTCAGGAGGAGCCCAACTGCGATTAACACCAAACCTCCTTTCTAGAAACGATCTTGTTCTGAGTCAGTGACATTACTCGTGCCAACACTCCTAACCCTAACAGGCCGAGGAGTCTTAAAGCATTTGTGTCATCAGCTAAGCCAGGTCATTCTAAATAAATCCTCACCATCTTCACAGAAAACAGGTACCTCTGTTCCAAGTCTGCTGTCAACTCCTTCTGCAGAGTCTATGAATTCCAGCTCCATCTGGCCACTCTACATCTGCTTGCTTTCTGCACTGGACTTGGCACAGTTTTGGCATTAATTGTGGCCAGTGGTGTATTGGGCATTCCATAGCTAAGGTACACACCAGAAGGGGTCCAGCAGCATTTGCAGTTCAACAAAATGTGCTGCAGTAATGCAGTGGAGTGCACGAGTCAGTGGGGCAGAGCCTGGTTCTCTGAGTGCCGTCGGAGCCTGCACGTTACAGCAGTAACAGCTTCGTTTTATTTACAGCACCTTCACAAATGACATTCCCTCCTAGGCACAGGGTGCTTGGAGTGCTCTGAGCAGATCTCTGCCATCTTAGTTACCCTGAAATGGGTGAATTTAAAGAATGTCTTGATTAGGAAGATGTAGCAGGAAGATATTATATACATTTCAAAACCTTCTAGGTCTTTCTACATCTACCAATGGCTTTTTCTGTAAAGCAGCGTCTTCTATGCATTTCCTGTAATAACAGCTCCTTTTTGAGGGTCAGTACCATCCCAAGAGATTCTGTTACTATTGATCACACTATTTCCTAGGAAGATAATGGGCAGCTCCCCCTTACCACCATTGTATACATATTTTGGTTTATCTGCTTTCCTTTTCCCCACTTAGACCCTCCTGAACTCTTTATGCCATTCAGTTTCTTCATTTGTTTCAAGCCTGATGCAGAATGTTTTATTTGGGGACACTGGTTCCCTCTCCCTTATCTGTCTCTCAGCAGCTCTCTGCTACCTGGAATCTGCCCAAAATCCTGCAGTGACCGATGATACCCATTGACACAGCCCCACTTCCTCTCTCTCCAACTGCCACCCCCCCTCCAACCTTTGGACAGCAGTGTCTGCCCTCACTGTGTCGTTTGGTTTCTCAGCTCTAATGTTCAGGATGACAGAGGGCAGAGACAGCACATCTTGGTGCTCATTGCAGTCCACTTACCCGCTCCTGCTGCCGGCATCTGCTGCACTGCCTCACTCACACATTTTTCGTGCCGTGTATCAGCCCGAATTGGTTGTCCTTGGGTGTCCTTGAAGCCTTGGGTGTGCGGAGAAGGTGGCTTATTGCCTGCTGCCAAAGTTCAGTATCTTGAGTCAAAGTTACAACTTTGTGAGTGTAGTAGAAAAAAGAGAGCTGCAGACACCATGGGCACTCTCGGGTGCCATGGAACTCCCTCCCCCTGGCTCTGTGGGGAGGCACACGGGAGCAGCTTTGTTCCTATTTTAAGTACAGACCAAAGTAGCCAAGAGCCATTTGTCCTCCCTGTGCAGCCTGGCAGGACTTGGGTTACAAGCCTCAAAGGCCTGCTATTGAGTGTGCTGCTCCAGGGGATTACAGACAGGAAAGCTATCCTAAGATCCCTGTCCTTCTTGAAAGGACTTCTGAAGTATCTGACCTGTGGCTAATATTAGACACTGCAACTTCAGCAAGCAATCCAGTGCCCTTTTTGTACTGCTTGGCTCTGCCCACTCCTGCTGTGATCTCATCCTGCAGCACCATTTTCAGGGTGAATGTCAGGACCCCAAGACTCAGTCACTGGACACTTGGGGGTCCCTTGCTGATGTCCCTGTTGAAGAGAGGGAAGTGTCCTGAGAGAGCCCAGCAGAGTGTCAGAAATCTTCCCCTCCCCTTGCACAGCCAGTCCTGCAAACCTCAGGGTGATATGCTGAATAGCTGATTTTATTGTAAACAAAACTGATTTCACTGCCATTCACTCTCTCTTGAATTTCATTCATGGGCTCTGTGACACCCATATAAGTTCTGCAAACAGCTCAGCCAGGGTCACTTGAGGTAACACTGAGAACAGGCAACACTGGCTGCTGAGTCCTCATCATGTCTCTCAGCTCTTTATGAGCTGGGGCCCTGTGCTGTATTTTACACACACCTTTCACACCCATCACAAGGCTCTTCCTCCAGAAAATGCCAGGGTTTCACTGGGACCCTGCAGCCCTCCAGCCAGCCCCAGGATCTGAACAGCCTGGAGTATTTCAACTGGAAAGGACCTACAATGATCATCCCATCCAGCTGCCTGACCTCTTCAGTGCTGACCAAACGTTAAAACTTGTTACTAAGGCCATTGTCCAAATGCCTCTTAAACACTGACAGGCCTGGGGCGTTGACTGCCTCTCGAGGAAGCCTGTTCCAGGGTTTGACCACCCTCTCAGTAAAGAAATGCTCCCTCATGTCCAGTCAGAACCTCCCCTGGAGCAGTTTTGAGCCATTCCCAGGTATCCTGTCCCTGGATCCCAGGGAGAAGGGCTCAGGACCTCCCTCTCCATGTCCCATTCTCAGGAAGCTGCAGAGAAACAAAGTCACCCCTCAGCCTCCTTTTCTCTGGAGGAGCCAAGCCCAGAGCCCTCAGCTGCTCCTCACAGGACATCCCTTCCAACCCTTCACCAGCTTGGTTCCCCTCCTCTGGATGTGTTCAAGGACCTTCACATCCTTTTTAAATTGTGGGGCCCAATTTATGGGATTGCATTCATGTTCTGTGTGGAAACACAGTGTGGGAATGCAGTTAGTACAGCTGGAGTCAGTTGTTTCAGGGTGTACTGTGCCAGTACTCATTTCACGTCCCCCTTTGAAGGGAGAGGAAAGGATGGTCTTAAAATGCACTGGCTACCAACTTTTTTTCCAGTGTAACACAAAACGTTAAGTTTTAGCTCGTAAATCCTATGTCATTTGCAATCCTCGATACCTAAAGAGTGGGGGCGCTCGTGGCAAGGAAATTCGTCTCCAGCCTCACTCTGCCTGCTGATTCATCAAACTCGCGTTTGGACGCATGCAGAGGTCTGTGTTGTGACACTGAGCCTCTGTTGTGATTAAACCCAGCTGGCAACCAAGTACCACACAGCCTGTCATCACTCACCTCCATCCCGACCTTCGTGGGAGGGAGAATTGGAAAGAAAAGATAAGCCTCATGGGCTGAGATAAAAACAGTCTGACAATCAAAAAAAACCCCACAACCCCAAACAAAAACAGCAAAACACAAACAAACAAACAACAACAAAAAACCCCAAACCCTCAAATCAAAAAACAAACCAGCCCAGAGCTCCCACTAATAATAATAAACCCAATACTAATAATTTCAATGAAAAGGAGACAGTTAGAGGGATAAACCTCCCAGAGGAGCAAGTGATGTTTAATACAGTCGCTCACTACACACTGCCCCATGCCCAGCACATCCTAGAGCAGTGATCAACCACTCCTGGGCAGCTCCCCCAGTTTATATACTGGGCATAGCATTTTATGACATGGAATATCCCTCTGGCCAGTTCAGGTCACCTGTCCCAGCTGTGCTCCCCCTCAGCTTCTTGTGCAGCTCCTCACTGGCAGAGCATGAGACACTGAAAAGTCCTTGACTTGGGATGAGCACAAATGAACCACAACCAAAATATCAATGTCTGATCAACATTGTTCTCATCCTGAATCAAAAAAACCACAGCACTGTACCAGCCACCTGGAAGAAAATGAACTCTGGAAGGCACTGAGCAGCTGAAAAACCATGGCACAGTCACCATCATGAAGACATGATGGGATAACTCCCATGACTGAAGTGCTGAAATGGGTAAAAACTGTCTGGATGGCTGAACCTGGAGACTGGTGGTGAATGGAGTTACATCCAACTGGGGCTAGGCACCAGTGGTGTTCCCCAAGTCTTAGTTTTGGGCCCAATCCTCTTTAAGGTTTTTATCAATGATCTGGATGAGGAGATCCAAGACACCCTCAGTCAGTTCACAGAAAACACTGAGCTGGGTGGAATTGTTGATCTGCTGTGGGGTAGGAAGGCTCTGCAGAGGAATCTGGGCAGGCTGGATCAATGGGCTGAAGCCAAAGCAATGAAGTTCAAGAAGGTGATGTGCCAGGTCCTGCTCTTGGATCACAAGAACCCATGGAATGCTCCAAGTTTGAGGCAGAATGGCTGGAAAACTGCCTGGTGGAGAAGGGCCTGGGAGTGCTGGTCGATAGTGGCTGAACATGAACTGGTGTGTGCCCAGGTGGCCAAGAAGGCCAGTGGCATCCTGGCCTGTACAGCACAGATGCAGTTATTTGCTGCTTCCTTAGTGGTGTAGTGGTACAGTTATCAGCTGAGTTTGCATGATTTTTTTTTTTTGCTGCTTTCATCCAGTTGGGTCTGGTTTCTTCCAGCAGCAAACTCGTTTGTACAGAAGAGGTCAGTCTGTCAAGTTCTCTCTTTGTCTTTTGACATCACCTTGTGTCAAATGCTGTACCCCTTCTTTGTGTGCAGGGGGCCATGATGAACCATCTAAGGCTCCTCCATTGTGAGCTACACACCAGGAGATTCCATCTCAGGTTGTACCACCCCACCCCTCCATTAAGAGCTCATGACCAGAACATGCCCATAAGGCCACACTCTCCCACACTGGCCCACACCTCACCCTGGTGAAGGAAGGCAGCGGCTGCAGTGGGGAGAACACAACCATCGGTGACCTTTGGCAGCAGCGTTTGGTGGCTGACACCACGAAGTGGGGGGCTGGGGGCCAGGGGGCTGTGGCACACAGCTGGGGCCTGGAGCAAGCCCTGGGCAGCCTCGTGCAGAAGGAGATGAGGAGGCAGGAGCTGGAAATGCTGAGGGTTGAGTCGGAGCAAGAGCGGTTCTGCCGCCGCTCCGCTGCCGAAATGAGTGAGCTGAAGGCATCTCTGGAGAGGGAGCAGGAGCTGCTGGCAGAGCAGCCCCAATCCCAGCAGGAACAGCAGCTGGTTCAGGAGGTGTGGCAGTGGCAGAGGGTGGCAGGGACCGGCCAGCTGCTGAGCAAGGAGGGGGCTGAGCCCCGCACGGGACAGGAGCTGCTGCAGCAGGAGGGTCCCCCTGCCATGCACCTCGTGTGGGACATGCAGAGGCAGCTGGATGAGGAGATGAGGCCTGGCAGGAGTGGCAGGAAGGCCCAAAGCAAGCTGTGCTGGGAGATGGATGGTTATGAGCCCACCCACCTCTGCCAGCCCCAGAACCAGCTGCAGCTGGGGAGAAGACTCCCCACCAAAGCCAAGCTGCAGTGGTTCAGGAATGAGCTGCCCACCTCCCTGGGCATAGCCCAGCCCAAAGACCCTCCTGGGCACCATGGGGAGACGCAGAGCTCTTGGTACTTCTGCAGGAACCAGCCACAGGCACTGGGGGCACAACAGGAAAGACGGGTGGAAAACCACAGTGCTGGGCAGCAAACAACGTGCCAGGTGATGGCACAGGCTCAGCTCCAGGTCCCAGAGGGGGAAGGCTTGGTGGTGCTGGGCAGCACGTGCAGCCAGCTCCTGGAGCAGCACACCCACCTGCAGAATCTTCTAGAAGACCTGGACAGGAAACAGGGTGCCCTTAAGATGGAGAGCCAGCTTCTGAGAAAGGAGGGCTCTCCAGAAGTGTGCAAGGAGGCAGAGAGCCTGCAGAAGAAAAATGCTCGACGAGCTTCCCTCACCTTGCAGCTGGAAGGGAAATCCATGCAGCTGCAGGCAGACCTCCATGGCCTGAGCAGCACTCAAGTGCCACTGCCCATCCAAAGCTCCCCTGATGAACTGTGTGTGGCAGCATTTCCTCAGCAGAGGGATGGAGAAATGGGAGAGCCTGCTGGAGCCAAGCTGGCACAGGACAAGCCCTGTGGTTCCTCACAGAAGGTGGCTGAGGAGCTTCAGGCCAATGTGGCTGCAGGTGAAGGGGGCTCCTCTTACACGAGCACCCACAGCCCACGTTGTGGGGAGTTCCAGGTGCTGCTCACAGCAACAGCAAATGAAAACACCCCCCTGGCTGGAGAAAACACTCACCTCCATGGGCAGCTGGGTTTGACAGAACAGGTTCAAGCTGAAAATGCTGACCTGAAATGGCAAGTGGCAGAGGAGCAAGATTCTGCCATCTACAGGAATGTCTGTCTGCCAACCCAGCTGGAAGAGGCAGGGTGTGAACTGAAAGCCATGAGAGAAATGGCAGAAAGGAGTCAAGAGCTGGAGGAGGAACATAAGGAACCAAAGTCAGCGCTCCAGCTGGAAGTCAAGGAGGGCAAATGTTTGCAGAGGACTCAGGCAGAAGCACACAGGGAGCCAAAAGCAACCCTGCAGCTGATTCAAGCCCAGATGATTGAACTGAGTGATCAGTACGAGAAGCTAAACAAACGCAGCCAGGAGCTGTTTCAGGAATTGGAATGGCTGGAGAGGGAAAGATCCCACTGTGTCATTTCCAGGACACACCAGACTAACCTGGGAGCAGAC